AGTCAGCCTATCTAGAGGTCTTTGTTTTAGGAAGGTCAGCTGTTCCTCATCTAGCAGCAATCAGTTGTAAATATTCCTTTAGAGAGGATTGGGGTCTGCTGTTCATTTTCCCAGTTCTATGCTGGGTTACTATCTGGGAATCCCTTTGGCCACCCTGGCCAACAACTCAGAAGAAGGTATCTCCTGCCTGGCATTGTTGCTTGTTATGTAGCCTTTAGCTATACATATGGACTCTTACGAAATTATATTGGCCCCTTTAATCTTTGGTCATACTTTCCTTTTGGGTGTTTAAGGCCATACAGTTTATTTTTACTCTTTAAGGTCATTTGAGAATCTGTTCCTCAGGGATCACATGGGCTTGGGAGGAGTCCCTGGCTCCTTTCTTTTACCAGTTCCGCCTATATGAAGATAAGTCAAAGGCCCTACTCGACCATGGTTGGCTTTGCTTGGAAGCGTGGAGGAAATGAGTCTTCTGTGTTGACCCTCCTCTTTATAGACTGGGCAGGGGTCACCTTAAGTGGCAAAAGCATGATGGAGGGGTGAGACAATGCAAAAGATAAACAGTGCCTAGGTAGTTTTGAAAACCAGAGGGAACCATATTACTCCTACAACCTACTGACAAATTATACATAGTAGATCAAGAAATATATGTCTAGGTAAGGTTTATCTGAGAACAAACAACTGATCTTTGCCCAAGATTTATCTACATGACACACAGTAAGTAAAAATACCAGACTGGTGGAACTAACCTTTTTGGGTGTTTAACAGACATACTTTGAGTCCTTGAACCAGTGTCCTGGCTTGAATTTTTAGTGCTTAGAAAGTGCTCTCCCATAGTCTGTGTTAGTGTAGATGATCTAGATTATTCGTTTTTCAGAGGATTCTTGTTTTATGGACTGAATCTTTGGTTTCAGGCCTGTGCTCCATTGTACCACTGGAGGACTGAGCAGAAGCAGGAGAGAGAGCCTGTTGGAACTTGCTTTCTTCAAGCTGGAGCAAAGACTGTTGAATATGCTCCATGCAGGTCAAGTATGTATGGGAGTTGTACTTGCTTTGAACAAGAGACCCTAAGAGCCTCATTTGTATGCATGTGTACATACACATGCTTGTGTGACAAAATATGTAGATAGTTTGAGTGTGACGAGAGCAAAATGAAAGTAGCCCTATTCATGTAAAGAATTTATAAGTGTGAAGTAAGTAGGGTTATTGTTTCTAGGAACTAACCTTCATCTTCCTTGATTGGTGGTGATTAATATCTGATTTTGGAAATCTCGTATTTCCAGTCACAGTTAGTGAAAAGATGCTCAGTTTAGCTTCTCTAAATGAGATGTGGTCCCTACAGTTAAAGAATCTCATTCCTTAGATAGGCCTGGGAACCTACATTTTAAACAAGCTCTATAACATAGTTTTGGTAGCCCCCAAAGTTTGAAAACCACGGTTTTAAATTAATAATGATGTTAAAAGTAAAAAGGCTGAGCAGGGCGTGGTGCGGCATGCCTTTAATTCCAGCACTCAGGAGACAGAGGCAGGGGCATCTCTGTGAGTTTGAGGCCACCTTGCTCTACAAAACCAGTTTCAGGCTAACTGGGCTACAGGGAGACCCTGTCTCACCCCCCCCCCCCAAAATGTTGTCTTAATGAGAATTTATACAGGAAACTGAAGATTGAGTTTAGGTGTCTTGGATCTGAATTGGTCAGACCTCATTTGGAGTTTCTTTGTTAATTTGCTCCTAAGCCCACATCTTTTGATAATTGTGTTGATGCCATATTGATGCTTTTTCACTGTTACTTGAAATGCTAATGAAATTAATATTCTAGTGATTTTCAACAGTTATTTGACTACCTTTTTCTCTGCACATTCTTTTTTCTCACTGGAGATTTCTGTCCTTTTGCAAACCTTTCTTTGGTTGAATTGACCATGGTTCTAGATCCTCTTTATACCAAAGACATAAAAATAGGCTATCCAGCTGGGTGTAGAGGTGCATGCCTGTAGTCCTAGCACTTGGGAGGCAGAGGCAGGAGGATCTCTGTGAGTTCAAGGCCAGCGTGGTCTACATAGTAAGTTCCAGGCCAGCTGGCGCTACAGGGAGACCCTGTTTCAAAAAACAAATACAAAACAAAAAAGGTTATGCAGCTGGGCATGGTGGCGCACGCAGGCCTTTGGTCCCAGCACTTGGGAGGCAGATGCAGGCGAATCTCTGTGAGTTCAAGGCCAGTCTAGTCTACAAAGCCAGTTCCAGGCCAGCTGAGGCTACAGAGAGACCCTGTCTGTCCAAATGCAGTCTTGCCTTGTCTGTAGTGTGTACACTGCAAGATGTCCTATGGATAACAGATAGTACCAAATCTTACATGTTGCTGTATGTTTTATGAATTGTTTATTTCTGGAATTTTCCATGTAATATATTTAGAACATGATAGATAGTGGATAGCTGAAACCATAAATATCAAAGTAATGCCAACAGAGGGACTCTGTAGTGTTTCTGCCTGAGCCATTTTCTGGGCCAATATTTTTTATGATGGTCAACCCAGTAGTTGAGCAGACAGAATTAATTGCAACATGTAATACTTTTCCGGCTAGGTCCATCTTCTCCATGTGAGGTAACGTGTGGTATCAGGTCAAAGCAATGATTCAGGCCAACAGATTCTAAGTGGTTGAACCTCCAGGGAATTGCCATTTTTTATATTAAACACTTATTTCTTAGCCATCTACCTTGATCCTACCTGTTATAAGTAGGAAGTAAACATGAAAAGAACGGTACACAGAGAGCATGCCCTGCAAGAATGGAGGAAGTCAGAGACTTTATCTGCTGTGCTTGGAGCCATCCATCTCAACATCTTTGTGTTGGTGTTTAGATCCTGGTACCCTCACGTGGTAGTATGTAAACAAATGTAAGGACTACATTTGTATTTAAGATGTCTATTTTTAAAAGATGCTCTTATTTATTTAAGATCTGCCTGCCTCTGCCTCCTGAGTGCAGGGATTAAAGGTGTGCACCACCATACCTGGCTGGGAGCTAACCCTTTTGTGTCAGAATTAAACTTGTCATTTATGTGACACACATTCACATGTGAACACACAGATGCACATATGTGCATGCATACACATGCACACACATACATACTGATTATCTTTGTTCTCATTTGAGTAATGCAGAAACTGAGATTCAGACTGTTGAAGCATTTTTTTTCACATTCTATGATATGAGAATTTGAACACAGGTCTTTTTTTTTTCTTTTGGTGCTAGGTTTGAATCCAAGGACTAATGAATACTAAGTATTTCCTACCCCTGAGCTATACCCCCAGACCTCTAGGTCAGTCTTACTTCAGAAAAATCATTTCCCTACATTACTGACCACAGAACATGCTTTCCATATCAACTGCTCGAAAAACATGCACTTCGGTGATGGCTCCTTGTATATCTGTCTCATAATATTTTCATTTATTTGCTTCAGACATAAAAATTATAGTAATGTTAAACCATATGCTTAAAGATATTTAACATTCTAAATATAGTAAGCAAATTATGGCTTATGAACCCGCTTTTGTAAATAGAATTTTCATGCAAATATAGCCACACCCATTTGTTTATGCAGTATTAGGAAAGTTAAATTATTCTGGAGTTGCCATACCATACTGGCCCAGGAACCTGAAACACTATCGTGCCCTTTTCGGAAAGTTTATGGAATTCTGATCTAACTAAAACTTCATCTTAGGACAAGCTCAAAGGAAAACATAAAACACATAAACAGAGGGAGAATGCCTTTTCTCAGCCACCCCTCGTTATTATACATGGTTTTGGGCAATCCTGTGAAATCTTGAGACACCTGTAGGTGCAAATTAAGAGGGCAAGTTATCCAGAGGGAAAGCTCAGAGAAAACCTGGGTCCTAGCCTCAGACTCGGCTTGTAGTGAACCTGTAGTGGTGGGTAATTCCCTTGACCATGCGGAGCCCTTGCTTTATTAGTGAAACACTAATTCCAACCAAGCACTCCAGAGGTACTTTTTGGCATTTTGTATTTTCATCATGCTTCAGTAAATTATACAACCCAATAATTGTCTTTACATGATGATGCCGGTTCTATAAGGCTGCCTTGCTAACTTCTTTGTAACTTTGCTTGTCTTGCAGTTGTGTGTTCTGGAGTTTATTTGCTTTTGTTCATTTTTTTGGTTGATTTGTTTGCTTGATTGCTTGATTTTGTTTTTAACATGGCCTAAATGTATATACTGTATAAAGAACTTCATTGTTAGAAATTTACCTCCTTACTGATTGCAATTGCTTCCAGCTTTTCATGACAACATCCATGACCATACTTGGCAGTAAGCAACAGACCAGATGTCCATCTGTTGAAAAAGTTCCTGAGCCACTAATCACAGGATGTAAACACTCTTTCAAAGCTGTGGTCCCAGTGGGTCCTTTGTTCTTTCACTAATTTTGATACCCATATTTGGCCATAATATTTTTTCTTCTACTTTTGCCATACTTCAAGAATGATAATAGGGTTGTTTATTTGGGGTAGTGCAGCATGGTCATATAGGCATGCTCAGATTCAGGCCTATAGTCTTACTTAGATGGTTGACCATTGTCAAGTTACTTAATTTCTGTATGCATTAATTTTCTCATCTCTACAAATTGTGAATAATAATTATATCTCTTCAAGGATTGTGGTAAAATTGGAAAACAAAATGTCATATAAACAGCTCTAGCACAGTACCTGGCTCCCAGTAAGGGCATAATAAACACTAGTTGATCTTGTTATCATAACCACTACTTCATGTTTCCAGGCTTGCTATAGGAGAAGTATTAGTCATTTGTAGAGTTAAGCACCAATCCCTTCACTGAACTAAGGTGTGTTCAACATGAAAGTTTTTAAATTGTCATACACACTCAGTTTAGTCTACCCGCTAAGAAAGTTTTAAGGATTTTTTTGTCATTTTGTTCCAGGTCTCCCTGTAGCCCCAGCTGGCCTGGAACTCACTATGTAGACCAGGCTGGCCTTGAACTCACAGAGATCCACTTGCTTCTGCCTCCCAAGAGCTGGGATTAAAGGTGTGTGCCACCATGCCCGGCTTAGGAAATTATTATTTTTTTAATGTTGTATTTATTATTTTTTAAAATTTTATTTATTATTTTTATTTTATGTGTATGAGTGTATTGCCTGCATATATGTGAGTGCACATGTGTCGTGCAATGTCGTGGAGATCAGAAGAGGGCTTCGGACTCCCCTGGAACTGGAGTTAAGGACAGTTTGGAGCCGCCATGTGGGTGCTGGGAATCAAACCCAGGTCCTCTGCAAGAGCAGTCAGTGCTCTTAACCACTGAGCCATCTCTCTAGGCCCAAGGAAGTCATTTTTAATTAAAAAAATTTTTTGTATGTGTATGAGTGTATTGCCTGCATGTATGTAAGTCCACCGGTGTTGTGCAATGCTCTCAGAGGTGAAATGAGGGCTTCAGATCCCCTAGAACTAGAGTTGTTAGCCACCAAGTGGATACTGGGAACCAAACCCAGGTCCTCTGCAAGAGCAGCCAGTGTTCTTAACCATCAAACCATCTCTCCAGCCCCAGGAAGTAATTGTTTTTCAGCTAAATGCTGTAGGAAATCAAATAAAGCAGAGAGTTGTACAGTATAATAATCAAAAGATGTTTTCTAGATAGCCCAAAATAGTTCCTCACATGTAACTTGAATGAAAGAAATGTGTGGCCAACTTGAGGTTGGAGCAGAATTCTTTGGTGTGATTCCCTAGACAGTGGAAATCCCAGTCCATATTGTCCCATTCCCTCTTGCAGAAAAATTGACATTAGAGGGGCATTATACTCCTGTGGCCAATTTCTTAAATAAAAAAAAAAAGTTTATTGTGTAATTTTGGGGCAGTTCCCAGGTTTTAAAAATGAGTTCAAAAGTTTTGATGGGATTGTTTGACACACACAAATAAGTCTTAGAAGTTTGACCTCATGATTAAAATGAGATATTTTTGGTTCCTGTTTTTGAATGACCAGAGTGGTAGTAACTTTGTATGTTTGCAACATTGGTGGCACAGATTCTTTGGTAGCAGGATGGTGTTTTCCATTGCTCCTTGTCTTCAATGTAAAACAGAAGAAGAATCTTAGCATTCATTCACGTCTCTATTCTGGGTGTAATATTGCTCATGATTAAAGTGAATTTGAAATAATTTGGTTAATTATTTAAGTTCAGAATTAATCTCCTTTCCTGAGACTGACAAAAAGGGGGTGACTACAGAAAAACCAGACCTGTTTAGTCTCCTGTGGTTAGAAAATACTTCGAGTGCCATGTTTCGAGATACTCAGTTTCCATGAATATAGGTGTGAGGATGGCTGTGCATTTTAATTTAAAAACACATATATTAGCCTGTGCCTGAGGGAATCACTCACAGAAACCAGCAAATTGTCATATAAGTTCAGTAATACTAGATTTATCTCATGTTTTGTTTTATTTGCTTGTTTTGGGGTTTGTGTATATTTCCAATCTTTTTATTTTAGAGAATATTGATGCTGATGGACAGGGATTTTGTCAAGGAGGATTCAGCATTGATTTTACTAAAGTAAGTTCTTATGTAAGCCTCAAAAAGATTTGAATCTTCCTTACTGATTTAAGTGGGATTAAAAATTCACTGCTCCTTACTTCATCTTCTTTATAATTATCACCTGTTTAATGAAAATAGTTACAAAACAACTCATTCATTTTGATAGTGTTTGCCTTATATTATTCCGTCCTTTATAAACATTGCCTGTTTTAAAATATTTTATCATTTTTATTTTATGTGTATTGCCTGCATGTCTGTAAGTGCACTTGTGCAGTGCCCATGGAGGTCAGAAGAGGGTGTCAGAGCCCTTGGAACTGGAGTTACAGGTGGTTGTTAGCCACCATGTAGGTGCTGGGAATCGAATCTAGGTCCTCTGCAAGAGCAGCCAGTGCTCTTAACCACTAATCCATCTCTCCAGCCCCAACATTGCCTGTTTTAATGAGACCACACAATGAGAACTGAGGGAGTAGAGAATTCCCCTAGTAATTTATGGGTAACTGTGTTGACTTAATGTTAGCATTTCCAGGGCTAGTGAGATGGCTCAGTGTGCCTGCTGTACAACTTGATTCCACATTCTGAAACCCACATAAAGCTGGAAGAAGAGAACCAATTCAGAGTTGTCCCCTGACCTCCATATGTGCATGCATGACCCTCTCCACATCATGCACATAACCCCTGATATTAACAAATAAGAGAATCTATTTCAAAGTGAAAAGCAAAACAGCAACAAGAGCAACAATAAAACTAGAATGATGGCTTTCTTGGAAAATGGGAGCAGATGAGAATGCTTTAACTTATGAAAACAACAGGAATACCATATGAAGGCATTTGAAAAAATTTTAAAGTATTTTCTTTATTTGCAGTTTATTAATTTTTTTCTGTAGTCATACTGATTATTGCTAGGTAATTAATTTTATTAAATAGTTCAGCTAGTGCATTCATTTTCATATTACATTAGTTGTAATTTAGAATGTAAGGAAGTGAAGGGGAATAAAGCATATTAATAGATACATTTATTAAATATGTTTCAACTTACATTATGTATTTTTCAAACATTATTAAAAAGTTTAGCTTCTGCACTCTCTATAGTTGTACCCACACAGGTGTTTTCCCCAAAGTATTCTGACAATGTGCCAGTCATTGCTTCATTTACCATTCACTTCCTTAGACCCATTTCTGGAAAAAAGAGATTATTTTAAGGCAAACAGCTGAGAAGAATCTGCTACATAGCCAGGGAAAAGATGATTGAAAGCATGAAGAGGATACATGTACATTTGGATGGGAGAAAAAAAATAGACTCCAGCAACAATGCATTTTCTAAACATCTTGCACAAACACAAAGTATCTTGAATAGACACAGTTCGTTATAGACTTAAAAAATGCTAGTGTCATTTGTTGACCTTTCCTTTGATGTAGTACATCTTTAGATTTGTGAGACACTAAAAATAGTTTTCCTTCAGTAGAACATTTCTCAATGGTTGTTAGAAGATTTGCCTTAAGGACCCACAAAGCTAATACACAAATATAAGAAGTAATGCTTTTCTTCTTGTAACTCAATAACATTTGCACTAGTGCTTCATTCAGAATGTCCAAAGAAGTCCAGATCCACAGGAAAAAAAATGCTTCCATATTTTAAATGAAGGTATTATAACTTTCCTTCTTAATCTGCCTTTAGAAAGGCTACAATGGAAAACACTGACAGATGAACTTGATGCTGATGTTTTTACTTGTTCTAATATGTATATAATATAGACATAAACATCTTTAATGCTTAGTGGGCAGATTTCTGTTTCCAAACTCGTTTTTAAGTATCTGCCCTTTTGTTGTTTGATTTGATCTAGGCTGACAGAGTACTTCTTGGTGGTCCTGGTAGCTTTTATTGGCAAGGTAGGTATATATATATATA